AGCTCTGTGGTGTCAGGGTGCGGGGAGGGGAATGGTTATGATTTCTCAAGGAGAAATATCCCTTAGGAGAACACTAAAGCAGCCAGCAGAGATTTTCCATCAGTATTATTAGGTGGTCAGGGATAGCAGCCATTGGCACTATTATGGACTTAAGATGGTTGTGCAGTTAACATCACCTATGTTAGAGAAGTAAGAATAACAACGAGAATGAGGCAACAGCAGAAGTCAGGCCAGGCCAGTGAACATTTGTTAAGTTCTTACTGCAGACAGTGTCTTCCCAGGCTTTTTTACCAGCTCAGTGTGGAGCAGAAAGCCACCCTGCCCCTCGAGATAGCGTCACTTACAGGGACCCTTTTTTAGGTAACAGGCACGTTCTGAAGAACTAGCCATTAGTCAGCACTGGGCCACACTAAGATCTTTTTTAACTTTATTTTTCAATACAAGATTTTTATTGATTTGTTTATTCATGTGCAAGGCGTTGAGCGAGAGACAGGAAACCAACACCTTGATCCTTGAATCAGATGAGAACCGACAGGCCAGCAGACGGAGGCAGGAGGGAGGGCTGGGCTTTGGGGCAGGAGGCACCCTGAACCTTTGCAAGGTGCAGGGCAAGTTGGGAAGAGCTCACCTGGAAATTAAGAGCACGAGGAGAGAAAACCCATTCAATACAAGAGGGGAGTGTGCTTGAGAAAGGTAATAAGGAATAGGACAAATGTAAGTCAGTTGAGGGATTAGCATCAGTTTGGAGCTCTGAGGAGTAGCCTCCAGAGATATTGACAGGGCATGAGCATGGGGATTACACAGATAACCGATTAAAGAACATGATGGGCAGGATAAAGAGCTCAGGGTCAGGAAGGAGAAGGTGCAGTAAAATGCGTGTTCAGAGAAGGTGGAGACATGGGTGCCGGGGGCAAAGTATAACTGGGCCATATTGAGGAAGAGGACAGGATGTTTGTTCTCTTACAAGCAGCTCTGTGGGCAGCTTGCTTGAGAGTATCGGATAGGACGTGAAGAAGCAGAGGTTTGGTCATAGGGGCTTGCTCTAGCCACTCAGCAAAAGCCTGCCTGGCTGTGTCCTCTGACCGTCCCATGCTGGGACAGAGACATGTTCATAAAGCAAGAGAGATTGTTGATCACTCCCAGAAGATGGTCTTGTCACTTCAAATGCTTAAAGAAGGTGAAGCTGATGGAGAAGAGTAGATTCATTGTTGTGGCTTAGGAGATTTTCAAATTTACCCTGCATAGCTCAGGTCAGAGCTGATGGCCCAAGTAGTTTTTAAATCTCCATAAAAGACCTTCCCATCTGGCTCTCGATGGGTAAGCACCTGCAGATGGGCCCAAAGAGGGAGATTTGATATAAAAGGAAGAGAGGAAGAAAGGAAAAAGGAGGAGAGACAGGGCTAACTCAGGGAAGCTGCAGCCATGACGATCTGCAGGAAGCACCATGGTGAGGACAGCACAAGGCCTTTAAGAAGAGAAATCAGCTCGCTCTAAGAGAAAATAGCCTCTGCTAAAATGAAGAGAACAGAAGATGCATGCCTCACTTAGTCTCAATATTAGAGTTTGAAATGTGAAATTTGAAACAGTGGTAGAGAAATGAATTGAAATGGGAATATAGGAAAAGTGATACAGGAAGGTAAGCACGGAATTTATATTTTAAACATAATTTCACAGTTGATATGACATTTGTCTTCTCTGTGAACTTGATTCCACAGCAGACAGGTGTGTGTGTGCGCGTGTGCATGTGTGTATGCATGTGCACATGGTGTGGGTTCATGTGCATATGTGTGTGGTGCATGTGTGCACGATTATGCATGTGCATGTCCATGCTCGAGCTGTGGAAGATGTAGAGCTCCTGGAGGAAGCAGGGGCAGCCCCTGGCCCCCCAGCTCTCTGCCGCGGCTGTACCTACTCAGCCCCCTGCAGTCTCCTCTGCCTGGTCCTCCCTCTGGGAGAGTGGCAGGTGTCCAGCAGCCCTGCCCTGCGTCCTTACCATTCCCAGGGTACCAGTGCCTATCCCCTACAGACAAGCCCTTATCCAGGAATGGACTCACCAAACATGGACAGATCCAAAGTTTCGTGGCTCTTCTCCAGCCAGCAGATCCTGGGAAGGAAAGGTGGACTCCTTACCAAAGGGAGTATGAGGGTTGCAGTTCTCCTGGAGGCACTTGGTGGCCAGTGGAGAGCTAGCTGTGTGTCCCGCCCTCCTGGGTTTGGATCGTGGCCATGCCCCCGTTCCATATGGCCTACCTTTCAGGACTGTCCACACAGGCTTCAAGCACCCACCAGCCCTTTCCAGGCATATCTCTAAAAAACAGTTACTCACAATTTAGCCTCAGCATTTGCAAGTTCAACAACAACTTAACAATAATTGCATCATCTTGCTTACCCAGGGCTTTTGGCTAGCGTAGGAGAAGCCTGGAGACCGAAGGCGGAAAGCCTTGAAACACCTTGTGGAGAGCCTGGGCACTACCAGGTGTTTGTCCAAGATGCTCTGGTTCTAGCAGCTGGTTTTCTGCCTCCTGGTCCCCCAGCCCTAGTTACTGGTAGCCGTCTGGCTCCCCCAGCCTCAGTTCCTGTCACATCCCTGGCCCAGCACATCAGTTTCTTTTAAGACTCTCTCGGGCCACCAGGACCCTTAGGAACTGGATCTCACCCTTAAACCCCATTCCAGCCGAGGCCTCATCTGCTCCCTGCTACCACTCTCACTGATCTTAGCCTCCTCGTCTTACTGGGATCCACCACTGTGGGCCTCTCCTGACACCCTTCAGCCCCCCGGTGAGCTGTGCAGCCCGCCCTGTCCCCGTACCCGCTCATCTCAGCCTGAAGGTTGGAATCTCTCTTGGATTGATCCCACTCCTCTAAATCTCACCACTAATAGGTTACCAAGGTCAGTCTGTTTTCCTCTTTAAATACCTCACAGACCATAGCTCCTCTTCTTGGCTTCCATGGCTTCCTGCTCAGAGTTCTTACCACTGGTTAAAGAAGACGCTGCTGGTCCAAGCTGGTCTCCCTCCCTGCTCTTCATTACCAGATGAATCCTCTCAAATATCCTGGGACTATGTCACCAGCACATATGCTCCCAAGGCCAGTATCCCTGTTATTGGAGCTGATGCAGTGGCTGGGCCCTGGGGGAAGCAGCCAGTCAGTATTTATGGGGTGAGCAGATCATGGAGGGTTCCTGCTCCAAAGCCCTCACCGGCCCCGCTGCTCAATTCCCCGTCTCCCCACGATTTGTCACTCGGATCCGCCCAGACACCACTGAGCTTGTTCCCCCTCAGCATCTTCACCCATGTCATTCCCCTTGCCTGGAACACTTCTAATCATACCATGTGCTCTCCTTGCCTCCAGGTCCTGCCTGTTAACTTTCCAAAGAATTCTACTGAAAAAATAAAATCACTTTAAAAAAAAGAATTCTATTGAGGGCTTAGAGTCTCCTAAGTGCAGCAGCAGCAGCCTTCTAGCATTTGGTTTGCACATCTCCTAAAAGAGTTTTGGAAATATATGTAATCTTAAAAATTTTAAGTTTGAGAAGTAAAATATTTCTTAAGTACAATTATTTTTGTTAATATCAGATAGGAAAAAAAAACAAGATGAAAGATGAGGACTAATTATTAGAAATAAATATTTGATGACATGATTTGCTAAAATAGTTTTTAACCAGCTCATTGAATAAGGCACACCAGATGCGAAAGTAACTGTGGAAGACATATCCATGGATTTTAGCCGGTGTATCTTGAACATGTTTTCATAATTATGGAAAGATTCCAGTTACATTTTTAAAAATTACATGAGTCATGAATACTCTTCAGTTCTGAATTCAGAACATCTCACTCAGGCCAAGGTTTGCCCTCACAGGGACCGGGAGGCATCGGGGCCTGCGAGTCATTGAAGGCTGCACTCTGGACTTCCAGGGGTGACAGGGATTCACACCCCAGTGCAGCACACCTGAGCAAGGGCTGTGTTTTCCTTCTGTGAGGTGGGGACGGGTGTTGTGAATTCAGTCACGTTCTCAAGCAGTTTTAGAAAATACGGAATTTGAGGATCTGGAAATTGATTTCTTTAAAGCTGCCAGCATGTTCCTTAGAAAGTAGATCTGCATGTACCCCAGACTGAAGACCACCACTGCAGAGGATGTGATTCCTCCCTTTGAAAGAGCTCAGAACAAGCTCCGGATAGAGAACTGGAACCCCCGTGGAGAGAGGACTTTCCATGAGTGCCTGGAGAGGTGGGGGTTAGCACCCCGAAAGGCCCCCTCTGACTTCCTCTGACTGCCCCTCCTCCCTGCACCTCCGCCTCACCCCCATGTTCCCCCCACAGCTCACATACCAGTGGAGTCCTGCTTTGTACTGGAGTGTCAGGCTCAAACTACCCCTTGCCTCCCACCCAGCACTGGCGCCCAGCATGGAATTATGCATCAAGAGCTTCTTCCCTCCCCAAGGACACAGGGAGCATGAGAGGGAGGGGCTGGTTTGCACCCTTGGAGATGAGCCTGGGTACTCTCTTGGGGTAAAGCCTGCTGGCTTTTTTTGAAGTAACACTTTTACTGAGATGTTAACATGCCATACAACTCATGTTTAAAGTATACAATTCAGTGGTTTTTAGTATCTTCACAGAGTCATGCAGCCATCACCACAGTCAACCCCTGTTGACTTTCAACCCAACTGCCAAATGCAAGAATTAATTATTTTAAAAAGAAGAGCTCCTGGGACAATAGAGTAATCCAGTGAGAACATTTTGTAGGAGTCCAGCTGTTAAATCCTGCTGCCTGTAACCTTTAGACCATCCGTCCATTTACTTTTATCCTGACAAATTGAAACGTGTTTACAACCTTCCAGTTGCTGCCTGGTGTCTGCACCAGGGGCAGGGGAGTGGGAAGGCCCTCTTCTGGCTCCCACGTGGCAGTCCCCCGGAGCTGGACAGGACAGCGTCCCAACTGGGGGCATCCCCAGAGTGGGACACCGACCTATCACTCATGGAGTCTTTGCCTTCTCTCACAGGTGTTCCACTGTGTCCACTTTGAGTGTCCAGAGCAGCAGAGCAGCCAGAAGGAGGAAAACAGCGAGGAACTGGGGACAGGGGACACCAGCCCCGCCGGTCAGCAGCTCGACCCGCATGCCCTCCAGGCCCCCAGCGGCAACTCACTTCCTTCCAGCCCAGGCTCCAACCCTCGCTCATCCAACCGGCAGCACCAATAAAGGAGGCACTGTTGTGAGATGACGGGGTGGGCCCAGATGGCGGCAAGAACTGGTGTCCTCCTCCCCCTTCCAGAGAGGAGCAGACCTGGCTGCAGAAACACACAGAACAGGTTTCTCCCAAGGACAGGAGTGGGCTGCTTTGTTCTCCTCAATTTGTTCAAATCAAGCTGGTCTCCAGGGGGAGAAAATGGGTCTTCAATCTTCATCAAGTCTGTGGGATGACTGGGTGGGCCCAGATGGCGACAAGAACTGGTGTCCTCCTCCCCCTTCCAGAGAGGAGCAGACCTGGCTGCAGAAACACACAGAACAGGTTTCTCCCAAGGACAGGAGTGGGCTGCTTTGTTCTCCTCAATTTGTTCAAATCAAGCTGGTCTCCAGGGGGAGAAAATGGGTCTTCAATCTTCATCAAGTCCACCATTAACACCCTACCTCTCTAATCTAACCCAGGCAAGGGAACAGAAGGAAGTAATAGGCCCATGTCGGAATTCAAAACTGGCATGCGAACACTTGAATGGAAGAGAATATGTTAGGCCTTTATTACCTGGGGGCACCCTTTAGGAAATGGGTTTCCGTAGAGTGTGTACTTTTATGGAACACATTGCCCTGGGAACTAAATGATTTTTTATTTCTTTTAGTTATTCTCCATTTGCTGAATCATAGGTGTTCCAGATCTTTCTCAAATGCTCAAACAGCGAATCACTAGTTTTAATCCCTTTGACGCTGTAATTTTCCTTCCTTAGTTTTGAACGGTTAAGCTTTGGGTAGAGCCGAGAAACATCGTGCGTGTCTCCTAAATGAGGCACAATTGCGGCTCATCATGACACCTGGGCTGACAAGGAAAATCCTTTGAGGAAGTTCAGCAAAATACACAATGAACAAATCAACCCATGGACACTGGCGTTAATAATCACTCGAACTGCTGGGTCATTAACCTGTCATTCCCGAAATGTATCTAGCCTTCAAGCTTGGGAGGCTGACAAGGATAGTTATTACACCACCTGCTAATTCGGTGTTTGGAAGCACGTGTATATAAATGTATACCAACTTCTGCCTGGGCTGGACCGGTCCGAGAATTGCCACACTTTGGCCGCATACAGAGCAGCCCCTTCTTTGCAGCGCGGGTGTGGTGTTTGGTGGCTGCTGTATTTATCCCCCAGACCACAATACTTGATTGGAGATTGAAGAAAAAAGCAGTGCTAAAATGCTTTTCTCCCAGTCCTCACTGAAACAATCTTATCTGACTCTTGCTACAGCACTTGTGTCTCTTAGTAATTTCCATTCCAGTGCCCCTTGTAACTCAATTAGATTGTTTGATGTCTGCGTATCTGCAGAGCTCTCCCTTGGCTGTCTGTCTCAATCAGCTCCATGTGAAGCTCCTACAGACGCAGGGTCTTCTGCACACCCTGTGACCCTGCTTAGGAGGGGTGGTACTTACAAGGGGTTCCTGTCTGGCGTCTTAAAGCCACATTGGTTGCAGGTGTACAAAGAGCAATGGGTCATCTGTTTTCTCCTGGTGTAACTTAGTTCTGAGTGAGTGATGGATACGAGAATAGTAGGGTAGCGTCAAACTGCAGGACTTGCCAGAAGGGCTGCCTCCTGTGTGAGTGCAGCTGGGGAGGAGCTGGTCCTGGGGGAGGGGAGGCTGCTGAGCCAGCAGTTCTCCCTCCCACTGCTGGGCTCAGGGCTCCGAGTCTCCCTCTGCACCCTCACTCTGTGATCTCTGTCCACTTCCCCTTGTGTGAGGTGAGAGGAACCCCCGAGGGGTGCCCTACATTTGATTATGGGAGGGAGGCTCCTGTAACCTGTGGGGGTGCCGCCCGTTCACAGTGGGTGGCTGCCCTCTGTGGCTTGCTCACTGCCTCTGTCAGCATCCAGCCCCCAGTCGCCTGTTAGCACAGAGTTCCTGTCCATTCAGCATTTCCTCCAGCAGTGCATTTGCTACCCAGTGAGGGAACACAGGCAGCCAGATAAGTCGGAGCTAGGGCGGAGTGCAAATGTTTTGAAAGTGTCATCTATTGAAGGACTTCTTTTTAAACTCTAAAGCCTGCCCAAAGAGGGTCTTTTTAAACTCTAAAGCCTGCCCAAAGAGGGTCCCCATGCTCAGAGGCCACACTGTGGCCCCAGAGTCTGGGCTGGGCTGGTGAAGGGTCTGGAAGAGTTGACTGAACCATCTGTCTCCAGACCGGTCAGTTCCCATGGCCACGCAGCACTCTTTGCTGCCCCAGGCCCAGGTAACTAAATACCTCTGGGCAGCTCAGCCTCACACCTGAAGGGACACAGGCTGCGGGCGAAGTGTCAGCACTAGACCCACACTGATGCCCTTCCCGCCAGGCCTCGCCTCCTTCCTCCTGCCCCCTGTGAATTTCCTTTGATGTTTGCGCCTTCCAGATGCGAGCCCTAGGTCTGTCTTGAGAGAACGGAGTTTGCCTCCCTCCATTCCTCCTCCAGCACTTCATATGCCCAGATGAAGGGAAAGAAGAGGAAACCGAGGCACCGCTGACAACATGGCAGCAGGGAGGACCGAGGGCAGGCTCCGCCTCGTGGCGCCACCTCGATCTCCCCCAGGCCTCCTGGCCTTTCTGGGGGCGTTGCTCGCATGGAATCCACTCCCAACGCCAGGCTGACATCAACGAAGCCTGGCAAAGCCTGCGCTGGCCTAACTCTAGGCACCAGGCCAGGGGCGCTGCATTCCTTGACGAGCCTTCTGATTTGGGGGGCAGAAGGGGATCTTTCTGCTTGCCTGGCTGGGCCAGGGCCTTCTAGAGGGGACCTGGAGACCCATTGAAGGTGTGTCACACCAGACATGCCCAGACTGAGGCCTGCATCTTCAGAGAATGAAGGATCAGTGGGCAACTAAGAGAAGTCCCCAGGCCACTGGCGTTCTCTAGAGCCCTGGCCGATCCTGTGCGGGACTTCTACCCTGTGGCCAACCAGACCTAAACGGCCTGAAAACTCCAGACCAAGAGAGCTAACTGGACTGTGGGTGACAAGACGGGCTGGCGCACAGCCAGAAGGAGTTGCAGACACCCGCAGAGCCCTCAGCCCAGCAGAGGGCGGGGGCTGTTTCTGGGCACTGGCAGCGATGGCGTTCGAGGAAGGAGATGCAACCAGGCCACCGGTGGAGCGGGGAATGGTACGGGACCGTGGCCCCCCTCCCCCGTGAAGGCACAGCTTGGGTGGTGTCCGGTTTAAGGAAAGGTCAGGCAAGGCTGGACCCTCAGCAGAGATGGACAGAGGTGTGCTTGTGACCTCTGGTCTTTTATTATGATAACTTGTCAGTTACAAACTAAAATGACAGCTTCCTAACCACCACGTAGGTCAAGAAATAGAACACTGCCAGAACCTTCTGCCCTTCATTTTAAGTTGTGTTTCTTTGAAGAGTAAAAAGCAAACTTCATTAGGGCCTTCATAGTCGCTTTCTGGCAGTCCTGAGAGGCTAGGTAGGGTGGCTCCGAGCATGCCAGGCAGGGCACCTGCCGAATGGGATTGGCACCCTGGTCAAGGCAGCCTTAAAGGCGGGATCGCTGCCGACTCGAAACAGGTGTAATAGAATAACACAATCACCCCTGCGCCCGCGCGCGCGCACACACACACACACACACGCATTTACCCATATTCTCAGTGCTTTTTTTGTTTTGCTGATTTGAGTTAGAACCATGAGCCCAAGATGGTTGTGGGACTCCTCAATTGTTCTTTAAATTGTCACTTTTTAAATCTTATTTAATGACAAATACATTAAAAGTGTTTTATTCCTAGAAGAGTTGGGAAAAGAAATTATTTTCAGCAACAATGGGATGTTTCTTAGACTGATTCCTCAGCAAAAAAAAAAAAATGAGTTTTTGAATTGTGCAAAAAATTGCTCAGTACTTATGCTGTCGCCCCAATTGTCAAACTGCTGTGCACACAGCTCCAACCCAGTCAACTTCACCTTTTTGTTAATTTAGAAGCTAACAAAATTGTAATTACTTTTCCTTTGCAGAGAAGCAGAGGGAAAACGGAAGGTATAACCTGTGATAAAAAGCAGAGCGTCCTGCGTGCCGAAGTCACGTGGTAATAAAGAGGGAGCATTCCCCATTGTGGGCTTCAATTAAGACCCTTCCTTTGGACAGAGAAGAAAGATGTCAAAGGGGAAAAGAAAATTAAATTTGCCTTCTTCCCTTTTTTCCTCATTAGTGTTTGCTTTTCGGTGTTTTCAGTTTAATCCCGCCTCGTGAGTGGGCGACCGATTCCTCTGGCTGCTGCCGAGGTGGTCCCAGGGTACGGCGGCCGTCGTGGCCAAGGCTGCAGCACTGTGGCTGCAGTGGGCACAGGCCATGCTCCATTTATTTTTGCAGCTGCAGCCATCGATTCTGCGTGCTTGTCCTGACAACAGTTCCAGCAGGAGTCCAGTGCTCATTAGTGGCCCTAGGAATTTAAAATGCAGTTCATGGTTCTGTGCCACCATGGTTTTTATTATAATATTAAATTAGAAGTGCTCTGGTGCCTGGCGTTTGCTCAGGAGTTTCTGGAAAGGGGGAAGGGAATGGTTTAGACAGCATGCAGGGCAACTAGAATGCTTCCATTCCTCCTCGAAGTTGACCCCGTCATGCTGGTTACTGGACAGGATGCTGAGGCCATGTGGTCTGGCAGAATAAATGGAAAAGGTGGCAAGAAGGGTTTGGTTGACGGGTGGACCAGCTTCCCATGTGCCCCAACCAGGCCCCCTTCAAGGCTGTTGCGGGGAGAGGGGACGTGGCGATCCTGCTGGTATCCATCAGGCTGGCTGGAGGGGCCGCGCACTCACTCCTGGCCCGTGGCTCCCCCTCTGCAAACATGGGGAGCAATGCGGGTGACCGTGAGCTCCCCCACCAGACACCCCATGCCACTTAGGGCAGGACTTTGTGCTGAGCTAATGTGGGCTGGGACTTGCCTCCTTTGTGGGGGTGGGAAGTGGGCACACAGAAGGGGCCAGAAGAACCCCGGCCCCCCCGCCAACACACACTTGTTAGAAAATAACTGGTCTCTTTTTAAATTACGCATTTAAATTAAAGTGATGATCATGGAATAGAAGGGGGCGAGGGTGTCCTCCCCTTCATCTGGCTCTGAGTTCCCCTTTCCCTGGGCCTGGTCATTCCCTTCCTCTGTGACTGACTCGTTGAGCTGGTGGCCTCTCCCAGACAAGCCCTCCCACCCCATTGGCTTAGTTTCTTTTTTCTTTTTTTAAGAACTGAAATACACCCCCAGAGGCCTCATGGCCTAAAGACTCACAATCATCCACTTGTAATTTATGATAAATGTCTTGAGCATTTACCATTTGCATCCTGAGTATTTATAGCCCTGAGTGGGGAGGGCAAGGAGCAGGAGGCCTACACCTGTCTGCACTGTTGCCTCCTGCTCGACTGCGGCTGGGGCAGCAGAAGAAAGCCGCCTTGGGGAGCCCGCGTACAGAGCCCCCTCCCACCGAGAGGAAGGCCCGGGCCCCGGTGAAGAGCAGACGGCGCTGCCCTGAGAAGAAGGTGGCGAGAAATGGCAGCAGGTCTGAGAGGACTTCAGGGTGCAGATCGGGGCCCTAGGGCTTTGGTTTCCATGGACACCCTGGGAACACTGTTACAGTCCGTTCGTCTGCCACCTAATAGTCTCCTGCCACGTGACTCTCAAGGGCTTGTGACCACTGTTGGGGTGGACAGGGCCACCATGCCTGTCCCAGGGGCTTTAGCTTGCTGTCCTGGATGCTGAGGGCAGGCTGGTCCTCCCAGTGTCTGCTTATAGCTCCAGGTTGCCAGGTTTACTCCCTGCGCACATCTTCCACCTGGGGCCTGATGGTGTAGGGCAGTGCCCCAGCCATAGTTCTATAGTAATGTACCTTGCAGACTTGCCCCAGGCAGTGGGGGCTTCCTGGCCTCCAGGTCAGCAACTCATACCATCAATGGGCCAGGGCATTGATGGTGAGATCTGAGAAGCTCGAAGGGGAGGATGTCAGGGGGCACAGAGCTGGCTGACCAGGGCCTGGTCTCCTTCCTGCAGAGGGTAGCTCCAAATCTCAGACTTCCTTCCAGAGGTGACCTGAGAGTCACCGTCACTCTGAGGAGCAGCCAGGAGTCTCCCTGTCTGGCTGTCCCCAGCATCAAGGTCCCAAGGCCACCCCACTCACCCCAGCACCTGGAAAAAACGGAGCGTGAGACCTCAGGCTCAGCCTCTGGGCTGGGGTCTGGAGGGGCGACAAGAGCCCGTCAGGGCTGATGAGGGGCTTGGCCCATGAGCTTCTCTTGCTAAACAATGTCCATCCTGAAATCACCAGAGAATGTGACCTCTGCATTTGGGGTCTCTCAGCCTGCAAAGATTTGTGGGTGCTGCCTGCGCTCCCCTTCCTGGGTGTCTCAGATGTAGGGGACGGGGGCCCGGGGTGGGAATGGCTCTTCTAAGCCATTTGTAAAGAAGGACTCTAGGAGCTTTTGTCCAAGATTCTAAAGCACAAAGGGCAGTGTTGCTGTTTGGAACATGTATTAATTTGTGGACAGGCTGCGGCTTCTTCCTCATTTTGTGGAACAACCTAAGTGAGCAAATGTGCAAATTGTGTGTGTTCAAAACAACGCCTAAGTTCGTGCCTGCGAGACTGCTGCTCTGGGTTTCCTCTTAGAAATAAAGTGACGAGTTTCTGTTCTACGTTCGCATCATCCCTCTCTCCACCGCCTGCCTGCAGCCCCCGCCTTGTGGGCCCACAGAGGGGCAAGGCCAAGGTCAGCCCCTCTGCCCACGGGGCTGGCCATCCAGCCCTCCCTCTTCCAGCCCCAGGGCACCGATGGGGTGTCCACCCACTCCCCTTGCTTTCTCTGCCTGTGGGCGGGGAGGCAAACAGCATCCAAGCAAGCACTGTCACCTTCGGTCCCCACACAGCCTTCTGAAGCGGGCCGGATGTCACCGTGTATCTGTGCAGACGGTGAGTCTTGGAGGGCTAACTTGTTCTAGGACAAATAGGAACGTGCCTCACGCTGGGACCACAGCTCTGCAGCACTTTTTTTCTCAGAGCAGAGAGGCCCTCGGAGCTTCTGTCCAGCCTCCTGTGCACTGGAAACCTCCGTCACGGCCTCTCCACCCTGAGATGCCTGTTCAGTGGTGTTTCTGGTGGGAAGAAAATTCACCTTGAACCCACGTCTACTTCCCTGTCATTTCTCCTGCTCTGAGCTCAACCCCAGCGGCCATGCTTTTCTTTCCTTCTTCTACATGACCAGCTCTCAAGTGTTAGGCCGAGGGTGTCCTGCCCCTCAGCTTTCTCTCCTTTGCCCACAGCCCCAGCATGATACGGTGCCCACAACTGTGTGTGACTCTCCAGCCAGCTCCGATGGTGCCGTGTAGGGTCCATGACTTGATTCACTAAACATGAGAATGCACCTGGCTGCTCAGATCTTGGTATCACACTGAAGTCTCGTTACTTAAAACAGCCTGAATCAGGCAGGTGTGTGTCACCATTCAATGTAGTTTTTTTTTCTGAACTGAAACCCAGGACTCGACATTTCTGTTTGTCAACTTCCATCTGGTGGTCGTAGCCTAGCGGTGGAGCCTAACGTCAAGGTCATTTCATCATTGGATTTAGGCGGCATCACATGCACTTACCCTCCAAGCTGTGATTGTCTAGAATTGACGTTTTCAGCAAGTGTCGAACAAGACAAAACTAAACCGGAGGAGCACTGGAGGATGCCGTGCCGCTTCCTCAGTCCCCTCAAGTTGCAACCATCACCTGGCCCCTCACGCTTGTCATTCAGAACAGTGACCAGGCCAGGCCATTTTCTACATGCTAGGGACACAGCATCGATCAAAGTGGACAAAATAGACAAATGTTCTGCCTACCTGGCTCTTACATCTAGACAGAGGTGACAGAAAACATGAACGAGTGTACATGTTCACCGCATTCCGTGTGCTCATGTGAAGGTGGGGACTAGAAGGTGACAGCTGGGCAAAGCCCTGTGGATAAACCCCAAGCCCTCTGGGGAGACCTTTGCAGGAGGAGGGAGAGCAAAGGGCCCTGCTGTGTGGTGGGGCTGCTGTGCTGCGGACTGGCGAGGGGCAGGGCGGGCGGTGAGACGAGCGGGAGGGCTGGTGGGCAGGGGGCGGGGTGCCCTGGAGGGTGAGAGAGACCAGGCTCTTCTCTGAGTGAGATGGGAGCCAGTGGAAGGTTCTAGGCAGAGGTGGCTGTGATCTGACTCACTTTAACAGGCTCGCTCAGGCTGCCGAGTAGGGAGAAGGGGGAAATGGGGAGCAGTAGGGGCTGGAGGGCTGTTGCAGCAAGCAAGGGAGAGAGGGTGGCTGCCTGGACCAGGTGAGCAGCAGAGGTGGTTCAGTCCGTTGTGCAGGTAGGGCCGATGGGGTTTGTGGATGGAGCAGTGAAAGGAAAAGCTGTCTAAGGACATGGACTCCAGGGGGTGTGGGGGGTGGGAGGAGCTGGCCTGGGGCAGGTTAGTTCCAGAAGTGCTGGGACTGTCAGAGAGGTGGCAGGCGGGGCGGGCCTCAAAAGGACCAGCTCACCAAACATGGAGCCCAGCAAGTATTTAGGGAACATGGCACAAACTTTACAAGGCAGCCAAGTTCGTACTAGCCTATCTGTCATGGGGAAAAGGTGACTTCTCACTTAAGCCAGCCCAAAAGGTCACAACTTACCTTTGCTCATCAGCTGAGCGAAAGGTAGGGATAAAAGTGCCTTAACCCAGGAAGTCTCTGTTCGCGGGAAATAGTCAAGATTTTATTACATGGGAACCAGAATGCGTCAGGTTGGCCCTGTTAATTTCAGTTTGCTCAGGGTGTAAATTAGGTTTCTGTGTTTTCTGAGAGTGGTGTGGAAAGTGCTGTCATCGTGGTGGCAGGGCAGAGCATGTTTTTGTCTCTACAAGCTGGAGATGAGAACTAGAACAGCAGTCCTCGGGCTCTGCCTTGCATAAGAATCACCTGAGAAGTTGATAAAATGCCACATGCACATCTGGCCCTGCAAGTTCTAAGTCGGGCTGCCGTCTCCAGTGCTCCACACGTCTGGTTCTGACATCCCACTTGGGCTTTTGGGGGACGCTGAACCAGTCATGTGAGCAGCTAGGAACCTGAGCCTGGAGTGGAGGGCCGAGGGAGGTCAGGGCCTGGGGCACAGCTGGGGCTCCCAGTGTTTATGGAGCCAGGGAAGAAAGCACCAGGCAGGGAAGAGGCAGGT